GTCTCTCTCTTCTACTCATTAGGTTAGTTCCGGTGTTGTTTGTTTCGTTTGTTTTCGTTAGAAACTGTTGTGGGGGAGGAAGTACTCAACGAACTGAGAGTGTGAGCTCTCTTGAACATATGAGAGGGAAATGCTCTCCACAATGAAGCTCTTGTTTGTTTGGATATGTGTTTTTTTCACAGTCAGTGCTTTTCAAACTAGCAATGATGTGAATGTTAAATGATCTTTTCCGTTAGAATTTGAAGGGTGGATTTAAAAATAAAAATGGAATATTAATACGCGTGGATTTTTTAAAAAAAATATTTTTTACAGCCTATTAAAAAGGAGCGGATTTCAAAATAATAATAATATTTAATTTTTTTAAATCCTAACAACAAGGCGTGGATTTGTTAAAAAATATTTTTATAGCCTATCATATAAAAAAAAATTGTATAGCCTACCAACAAGGTGTGGATTTTAAACAACTCTTTTTTGTAGCCTATCAACTAGGCGTGGATTTAAAAAAAATATTTTTTATAGCCTACCAACAAGGCGTGAATTTTAAACAACTCTTTTTTGTAGCTTATCAGCTAGGCGTGGATTTTAAACAACTATTTTTGTAGCCTATCAACAAGGCGTGGATTTTAACCATTTTTATAGCCTATCAACTAGGCGTGGATTTTAACCATTTTTATAGCCTATCAACTAGGCGTGGATTTTAACCATTTTTATAGCCTATCAACTAGGCGTGGATTTTAACCATTTGTATAGCCTATTAACTAGGCGTGGATTTTAAGCAACTATTTTTTTTGTAGCCTATCAACCAAGTTTTATTATTGTATAAAAAATATATATTTCAAATAAATATCCTCTTCGGTTATTGATCCAAAATCCTATGGGGATTTCATGTTAATCTCATTGAACAAATCTACTCATGTTATTCGGTGGAAAAACACATCCCTAACACGTGCCTTTAATGCAACAACGGAAATCGGAAACGATGTATGGACTCGTTACTTATGTCCATGTGTGTGTGTTATTCTAGGAATCTTTTCCTTTTTGGCTACCGTAACGAACGTCAAGTCCAGATACTCACACAATACCGACACACAATGTGTCACTGATATCCAATTTTAGCCAGGGATAATCGTTTAAAACTCACTTAACTATGTGTGTGTGTGGGTGGGATATAACAGGAAACTTGTGTATAATAGAAAAATATACACATACACAGATAATTTTCTTGGAAACTAAAAAATATGCTGCCTTTTAAATGCTAAAAATTAAAGAAACTATTAAAATGTTTTCAGACAATCCACGGCTAGAAGATAGGCAACAAAAAATAATTTAAAAAAAATCCACGCCTTGAAGATAGGCCATAAAAAATAGTATTCAAAAATCCACGCCTAGAAGATAGGCAACAAAAAATAATTTAAAAAATCCATGCCTAGAAGATAGGCAACAAAAAATAATTTAAAAAAAATCATCGCCTAGAAGATGGGCCATAAAAAATAGTATTCAAAAATCCACGCCTAGAAGATAGGCAACAAAAAATAATTTAAAAAATCCACGCCTAGAAGATAGGCAATAAAAATAATTTTAAAAAAATAACACCTAGAAGGGCCAAAAAAATGGTATTCAAAAATCCACGCCTAGACGATAGGCTACAAAAATATTTTTTTTAAATTCACGCCTGTCTGGTAAGCAAAAAAAAAACTATTTCAAAAATTATTTTTTTTTAATCCACGCCTTTCTGGTAGGCAAGAAAACTATTTCAAAAATATTTATTTTTAAATTCAAAGCTTGTTAGTAGACTGCAAAAAACATTTTTAAAAATCCACACTTTGTTTGTAGGCTACAAAAAATATCTGTAAAAAAATCCACTCCTTCAAACATATTTTCATAAAATCCACACCTATGGATGACCTATAATTTCTTTTATTAATTATATTTTTTTTCAAAATTTCTAATTACCTTTCAATACTGTTTTTTGTTACAAAAATAATGTAAATGAATTTTTCATTTGTCCGACAGATGTCGAAACCCATAAAATATTTATAACGAAAATGCTATAATAAACATAATTTCATTTTTTATTTATTAGTTCAGATTTTTTCAGTGAGTGTGTGTGCCTTTCCCTTCCCTTTTCGTCATTTCAAGTGAAATGAAAATTATAATTAGCTAAACATGTTGTCGAACATAATTCACAAAAAAGAGGATTATGAATGAGGAAGCAAGAGATGGTGGCAGGAGGCAGAAGGGGTGATGGTAGTTGTGGCCCACAGCACCACATTAGAATCCCAGCAAACAGCACTGCAGCAGTAGGTAATACTGCATTGGTGAGATGTGATGAAGATGGGACCACATTTATTGCACATTAAAGAGTGATGAAGATGAATCAAATAGTAAGGTCGTCTCGGTCGAGGGTGTAAAAACAAGGATTCAGAAATGTTTTTCTCCCCAATTTATTAAGATATTCATTTTAAAATTTTAAATTCAACTTAGCTGAATAGGATTTGCGGTAGGAAATTTATAATTCAGCCCAGCTCAGGTTTTTGTTTTTTGGGTTTTTTATAAGAAATCTGCAATTCAGCAGGGCGGAATAGGATTTTTGGTAAGAAATTTGTAATTCAGCTCAGCTGAATAAAAATTTGGGTAAGAAATCAGCAATTCAGCCCAGCTGAATAACATTTTCTATGAGAAATATGCAATTCAGCATGGCGGAATAGGGGTTTTGGTAAGAAATCTGTTACTCAACCCAGCTGAATAAGGTTTTGGGTAAGAAATCGGAAATTCAGCCCAGCTTAATAAAGTTTTGTGTGAGTAACTTCAACTCAGCATGGCGAAAAGAATTTTGGGTAAGAAATCTGCAATTCAGCTCTGCTGAATTAAATTTTCTATGAGAAATCTGCAATTCAGCATGGCGGAATAGTGTTTTTGGTAGGAAATCTGCAATTCAGCCCAGCTGAATTAGGTTTTGGGTAAGAAATCTGCAATTCAGCCCAGCTGAATTAGGTTTTGGGTAAGAAATCTGCAATGCAGCTCAGGTGAATTAGGGTTTGGGTAAGAAATCTGCAATTCAGCTCAATTGAATAGAGTTTTCGGTAGGAAATTTGCAAATTCAGTCCAGATAAATAAGGGTTTCGAATGGAATTTTCAAATTCAGCGGGGCTGAAAAAAAATTCTTGAGGGAGATCTTTCATTCAGACCGGCTGAATAAGGTCTATTGTGTAAAATCTCGATGCAAAATCTTCAATTCAGCGCGGCTGAATATGATTTCCTGTGGAAGATCTGCAATTATGCTAAGCTAAATTTGATTTTGGTAGGAAATTTTTCAATTCAATTCAGCTGAATATGGTTTCCTATAGGAAAGCTTCAATTCCACTGAGCTGAACACGATTTTCAGCGCGAAATCTTCAATTCAGTTCAGTGAAAAAATGTTTCGGCGCAAAATCATCAATTCAGCTCAGCTGAATATGGTTTCCTGTGGAAGTTCTCTAATTATGCTAAGCTATATTTGATTTCGTTTGGAAATTGTTCAATTCAGCTCAGTTGAATATGGTTTCCTATAGGAAATCTACAATTCAACATAGCTGAATACGATTTTCAGTGGGAAGTTTTCAATTCAGCCCTGTGAAATAAATGTTTCGGTGCAAAATCTTCAATTCAGCTCAGCTGAATATGGTTTCCGATGGAAAATCGGAAATTAAGATAAGCTGAATTTGGTTTTTGTTGGTAATTTTTCAATTCAGCATAGCCGAATGTAATTTACAGTGCTAAATGTTCAATGCAGCTTAGCTGAATTGAGTATTCGTTGGATAATTTTCAATTCAGTTTGGCTGAATACAATTTTTGATACAAATTCTTTAATTCAGCATGGCTGAATAGTATGTTTTGTGGGTTATTATTAATTCAATAGCAGAAATTCTCCTCCCATAGCCCTGCATCTGCATAAATCTTATGTGTATGATGTGACGCATTTTGCCATAGACTTTGTTGTTGTTATTTTGTCTATAATATAAGAGATTTGTTTTACACAGGTACGAACCGTAAAGGTATGGGGTATGTTGGGCAATTACAAAGATGTCAATATAAGTTGTGTGTGTGTGTTTTCTAAATAAATTATCACTGTTATATGACAATTTACAAACAACAGGTAAGACAATTTAATAAAATTAGAGAAAAATTAGATAAGGGGGTTCACAGGGTGAGATATTTATTATTAGAGGGAAGGGATATTATTTTGTAGGGATTTTTAAAGCGATATTTTCCTCGATGCCTGATGATTCATATTATTCACGGATCCATATCATACCCTGTGAATCCCCCTTTTTTATTTTATCTGTACTCAATATTGATTTATAATGTTTATTTTATGGCCTATAAACAATTTCCAATATTGAATGGTCGTCAATTAAGACATTTTCAAAAATGAAAAAAGTTTAAATAAACATTGACTTGTTGTTTTTATTGCAATTTCAACTAAGACACACACACATACATACACTCACACACAACAACAGAAATAAGAGCATTCACTACAGATATCGGTTTGTTTGTCCGATCTCAGCGAGGAGGAATGGCAATGGCAGTGTGTTGGCTTTGCCATGATTGGAGGAGCGTGATGAAAGTTTTATTAGCATTTAATTGTTTCATTATTAAAGGCAACAACAACATCAGCAGCAGCCGTAACAACAACAATCAACCGAATACTAAATAAACAAATGGAACCTCATATTTCGATATTTATGAAGTGTTTGCGGGTGTGTGAGTAAATGAACTGGGTAAATAAATACATGATAAGACTTGTTCCAATGGATATGGCATTTGAAAACAAATACTCCCCCGGAAAATATGATATGAAATTCCGCATAAGGTCTGATGATCGATCTGTCAGTCTTCATCACGAAATTTGCTGGAAAAGTTGCATTAGAAAAATATTAGAAAAGAAACGATGCTGACAATTTTACAAATCTGGAGCCTAATTTTTATTATAAAACCAATATTAATTTGGGCCTCAGAAAGACCTGCGGTGGAAATAAACAGCGAAGATTTCAAGGGCACCATTGTCGGTGTGGAAAAACAAAATTTGGCAAATGAAACATTTGCAGCATTTTTGGGTATTCAATATGCCAAAGCACCCGTGGGAGAATTGAGATTTAGGGTAAGTCATTAAATATTGAATTCAGCGGAACGGAAACTCTATTCAGCTAAGTTAAACTCAAGTTTCTCACTGAAAACCACATTCAAACTTTAGCTAAATTGTAGATTTCCTACGGAAAATCATATTCAGCTAAACAGAATTAAATAATTTCCTCTGGAAACCTGATTCAGCTAAGCTAAATTGCTGATTTCCTACAGAAAATCATATTCAGCTACGCTGAATTGAAAATTTCTTACAAAAAATAATATTCAGCTAATCTAAATTGAAGAATTGCTGCCAAAAACCTTATTCAGCTAAACTTATATGTGAAATACTAACATGAACACATATTCAGCAAAACTTAAATGAATTAAATTATTCAGGTTAACGAAAAGCTAATTCAGCTATGCTGAATTGTAGTTTTCTTACAGAAAAGCATATTCAGTTATGCTAAATTGAAGATTTCCAACAGAAAACCTTATTCAGCTGGGATGAATTGAAGAATTTTTTCCAAAATCCTTATTCAGCTAAGCTTATATGTGAAATACCAGCAACATTTATACGAATATTCTTATCAAATACCTTATTCAGGTAAAACAAATTATTTCAGCTTGGCTACAGAAAAGAATATTCAGCTATCCTGAATTGAAGAATTCCAACAGACAACCTTATCCAGATGGGCTGAATTGAAGAATATTTGCCAAAAACCTTATTCAGCTAAGCTTATATGTGAAATACAAACACTAACACTTATTCAGCAAAACTTGAAGAAATATTTCTTACCAAATACCTTATTCAGGTAAGTAAAAACTTGATTCAACTTGGCTGAATTGTAGATTTCTTATAGGAAATCATATTCAGCTATGACTAATTGAAGATTTCAAACAACAAACTTTATTCAGCTAAACTGAATTGATTGAGATTTCTTACCAAATACCTTATTCAGGTTAATAAGAACTTAATTTAGCTTGGCTGTATTGTAGATTTCTTACAGAAGAGCATATTCAGCTATGCTGAATTGAATATTTCCAACAGGAAAGCATATTCAGCTATGTTGAATTGAAGATTTACAACAGAAAACCATATTCAGCAGGGTTACATTGAAGATTTTTCAACAGATGCTTTATTCAGCCAAGCTGAATGAAAAATGTCCTACTAAAAACTACATTCAGAGACGCTGAATTAAAGACTTTTTGTCGGAATACATATTCAGCTGGGCTGAATAAAAGATTTCGCACTAAACAACTTATTCAGCTGGGCTGAATGGAATATTTCCCAACGGAAAACTTATTTGGGAATGCTAAATTGAAAATTTCCCACAGAAAGCCTTATTCAGCTGAGGCGAATTAAAGTTTTCCTACCAAAAATCTTATTAAGCTTGTTTGTATTAACAATTTTCCATCAAAAACCTTATACAGCGTTGCTGAATTACTATAAAAATGCGTATTAAGCAATGCTGAATTATAGATATTGCACAGAAAACCTTATTCAGCCCGGATGTTTTTAAGATTTCTCTCTACTAATTTATTTTAGGATCCACAGAGAGCCGAGCGATTCGAGGGCGTATATGAAGCCATGTACGAAGGATACGAATGTCATTCAATAACAGCGACCAATGCTTCGGAAGATTGTTTAAATTTAAATGTCTACACCAAGAATGTGAGTATTGGAAGTTCCAGAGATTGCCGAAGACCCTTATGTTTATGACTTATTTATATAAGAGTGTATTTTATCCATGGAGACCCCTTCAGGGATTCTTTTGTGTATAGAAGGTCCTTCTGGTATTCCTCTGTATATAGAAGCTCCTTATTGGGTATGCTAAGAAGAGGATTTACAATCTAAAGAAACTTCCAATAGGTCTTCTAGAATATCCTTCCTTTTTCTAACCTAAATTTTATTTTTTCCAGCTCCATCCCTCCGAACCCCTTCCCGTTATGGTGATGATCCATCCTGGTGGCCTTTATCTTGGCAGCTCCAGATGGCTGAAACCCGGCTATCTAATGCAAAAGGACATTGTGTTGGTGACATTTAATTATCGTTTGGGTACCTTGGGTTTTCTGAATTTAGGTTCATCTTCGGTCCCCGGTAATGCTGGGCTCAAGGATCAAATTTTAGCTCTGCAATGGACGCAACGTAATATTGCAAATTTTGGTGGAAATCCTCAGGATATCACTCTAATGGGTTATAGTGCTGGGGCACTAAGTGTATCATTATATTTAGTATCGTCCATGTCTAAGGGCCTTTTCCACAAAGCCATCATGATGAGTGGTTCCATGCCACCTCAAATTGTAATGCCACAAGGGGATCAGAAATATTTGGCCATAAGGCAGGCCAAGAGATTGAATTGTTCGGGATTTGAGGATGTAACAGAAATGCAAAGGCTGGAAATTCCTGACTATAAGGTTACCAAGGGTGAAGATATCTTGGCCTGCCTCTCACAATTCTCGGGCAAGGAAATATCAGGAACCTTGAGGCAAATGTTTGATTTTGGTAAAGACAATCCCATTTATTTATGGCTTCCAGTGGTAGAAAAGGATTTTGGCCAGGAAAGATTTTTGGTAGAGGATTTTTACAAGTCCTTAAAGGATCTAAAGGAATTGAAAATTCCTCTACTAATTGGTTATACAAATGGTGAATTTTGTTCGTCCTCCAAGGATATTTTAGCGGATGAGAAACTAAAATCAGAATTTGAGGAAAATTTCTTGACCTTGGCTCCACGGATTTTTGGTTATGAAAATTGGCCGCACAGCAAGGATATTAGTCAAAGGATAAGGGATTACTACTTCAATGGCTCTACGAGATTATCAGCCGAAGATTATGATAGGTTGTGTGATTTATTTTCCGATTCATTGATACGCTTTGGGGCACATCGCACTGGGCAGTTGGCCAGCGAGAAGGGTGCGGAGGTATATTTCTATGAATTTCGTTATCAAGGGAAATCCTTGGAGGTGGACAAGGATTTTCCGAATAGGAAGGGTAATATTTGTGAAAGAAAAAAATCTGAAGGGAGGTTTTTAAAAATATATTTATTTATTCTTAGATCGTGTGGAACACATGGATGACTTGCAATATCTTTTCAATTGGAACCACAGGCCCAATGAGGATCTGTCGCAGGATGAGTTGGGTATTATAAAGCTTTACACGGATTTTATATACGATTTTGTGAGGAATGGGTAATACTCCCTTTAAATACGATTCTCTATATAATTTATTTTCAATACCTTTTATATTTTCCAGGAAACTATCCTCTCCAGCAGCCAAAACGTATCCTAGCTCTTACGCCATATTGAATCGGAAATTGGAATATAAGCAGGGGAATAATTTTGAGAATTTTAAATTTTGGTTGGATTTATTTCAAATAAATAATAAAAATTAAAAGACAAATACTTCGATATTTTGAAAAAATATTTTTAGGAAATGTGTGGATGTTTGTATGTGAGGAAAGTAGTAAAGTCGGACTGGGCCCATTATATGATACCCTTCACCACTTGGGTATATTGTACATATGTATCCTTACAATTGCATGTCAATGTTACCTCAATGCTCCCTATGCTAAATTTAATTTCATTCGGGTAGATTTAGAGTAGTCTGCATACCATGGGACAAATTTATGGAAAAAAATATATGTATATGTGGGAGCTATATCGAAATCTGAACCGATTTTTACGAAACTTACCACACATAATTCTAGACCCAATTTAATACGATATACCAAATTTCGTGCAAATCGAAGGATAAATAGGGACTTTGGCGCACCATTGACATAAAATCGGGAGCTATATTTAAATCTGAATCGATTTTCCCAAAATCTAACACCTACCACTCTAGACTTCATTCAGTACACCATTCCAAAATTTCTTGCAAATCCAGGGCTATATAGGGACTTTGGTGCACCATTTACATAAAATCGGACGAAAATATATATGGGAGCTATATCGAAATCTGAACCGATTTTCTCGAAACTTAACACATATCACTCTAGACTTCATTCAGAGCTCTATGTCAAATTTCGGGCAAATCGAAGAATATAAAGGGACTTTGGTGCACGAATTACATAAAATCGGATGAAAATATATATGGGAGCTATATCGAAATCTGAACCGATTTTCACGAAATTTAACACATATTACTCTAGACTTAATTCAGCATGCTATGCCAAATTTCGTGCAAATTCAAGGATATAAAGGGACCTTGGTGCACTATTTATCTAAAATCGGAGGAAAATATATATGGGAGCTATATCGAAATCTGAAGCGATTTTCTCGAAACATAACACATATCACTCTAGACTTCATTCAGAGCACTATGCCAAATTTCGTGCAAATCGAAGGATATAAAGGGCCTTTGGTGCACTATTTACCTAAAATCGGACGAAAATATATATGGGAGCTATATTGAAATCTGAACCGATTTTCACGAAATTTTACACGCAGGGTTCTAGACTTAATTTAGTGCGCTATGCCAAATTTCGTGCAAATCCAAGGATATAGGGACTTTGGTGCACCATTTACATAAAATCGGATAAAAAAATATATGGGAGCTATATCGAAATCTGAACCGATTTCCTCGAAACTTAACACATATCACTCTAGACTTCATTCAGTACGCTATGCCAAATTTCGTGCTAATGGAAGGATATAAAGGGACTTTGGTGCACTATTTACCTAAAATCGGAGGAAAATATGTATGGGAGGTATATCGAAATCTGAACCGATTTCACGAAATTTAACCCGCAGCGATCTAGACTTAATTTAGTGCCATATGCCAAATTTCGTGAACATTTAAGGATATATAGGGACTTTGGTGCAGTATTTACCTAAATCAGCCGATTTTTTCGTCCTTGGGCCAAATAAATGACCTGTGCCAAATGTCATCCAATTCGAATCAAAAATGCGACCTGTACTTTGTTTACAATTTAACATGGAAAGGCAGACGGAGGGACGGGCGGACATGTATATATTTTTCTTTTTTTATTCATTACGTCTTACCTGAGTGAGTTCCAAAAATATAAATTTAATTTAATTTTGTTTTGTAATATGCAAATGAGAATTACCTGAAATTGAAAATAAACAAAACAATGGGTTAATCAACTGTTGAGGTTATAATGTGGGATAATAAATTCTGGTATAAATTTGGCTGAGCTGCATGTATATCTGCTGGATGTCCGGAATTGACCTTTATAGAATTTATTTTGAAATAAAATTCACTTTTAAAAAAATATGGTCTAAGTAGGGAGGAGAAGGAATATGTCGGAAAGCGACACAAATTCCAGCCATAAAACCAGTTCCATTTCACACAAAAAATGGCAATTCACGACAAGTGTTCTGTTTCGTATGGAAAATGACTAAACCACCCAAAGTATTGAAAACAGTCAGAATGAACAACAATTCCAACAACAGCAACAAAAACCACTGAAAACACATTTAACAGCCATTGAACTGATTGGCGAATGTCGCCTGTTGCCGCCATACGTTTTTTTGAACCAATATTCAATTACTGTTCGGCGTGCTGGACTGCTGCTGCCGCTGACCATTGGTCGAGAGATAGGAAATCACAACTATAACAACAAAGATATAAATAAAATTAAATAAAAAAATTGTAAATGGACTAGGATAGAGTATAAAAACCAGCTGCATTAAATTGCACTTTTGCACAATTGAAGTGAGGAGGAAAGTTAATAAAAACAACAGTCACCACAAGGTTATTGACAATCCGCGGGTAGATTTGTGTGTAAATCACATTTCCCATAATGGAGCCGGAGGCAAATAGAGGGAATGCGAGAGAGGTCAACTGGATTTCGCCACGTCTATTCAATATTATTAATTAGCCATAGATTATAATTTATGAAACACATTAAATTCGTTGTCGTTATTGTTATTATTGTTGTCAGTGGGATATCTGTGGCGATATTGGGTGTCAAATGGTGTGAATAATTTCAATATTTTTTTCTTATTTAAAAGCAATTAAAAAATAAATGAAACAATTCAATAATAAAGCCATGGAGGTGGGTTTGACGTTCGAAACTGCTCTAATACCTTATTTTCGAAGACTTGAAACAATTTTTATGAAAAATTATGGAAACTTGTAAAAAATCAAAACTGTTATACACAAGAAAAACTGTTATACTAGGTATTTTAGATGGTTCCACTGTGTAAATATATCAAAATTAGGCTAAAAATACGAAATCTGGAATTTTTCCGAAAATTATAACAGTTTTGGAAACTGTTATACAAACTGTTATACTTGTGAAAATTGGTTAAAAAGCTAAAATAATGACAATCACTGCAAGATATGATCATTTTGAACAAAAGAAACAAATTTTGGATCATACAAATCTCTCAAAAATCTAAATTTTAACTGTTATACTACAAGAAAACCCTAACAAAAATAAAAAATATTATACTAAATTGATTTTAACTAATTTTATTATGCATATACCTTGTTTTAAATAAAAATAACTTATTTTTCTGAAAAAATAATGAGCATTTTTATTAAACAAAACTGTTATACTGGCGAAAAAACTCTTATACTTAAATGCTAAAAATATTTCAATGTGTAAAAATATCAAACATTAGGCAAATTTTTAAAATCTTACGTTATTGGGTATTTATAACAGTTATAAAAAAGTGTTATACAAACTGTTATACTCGATAAAAATCACAAAATTTAGCTATAATATTACTTATTTCTAGTAAATATATCATTTTTCTTTAAATAACACATTTTTTGGATTATCTGATGCTGCAAAATCTAAAATTTAAACTGTTATACTATCAAGAATTGCACAAAAAATATTGTTACTACAGGTTTTTTGGAAAGTTAAAATGTTTAAATATGTCAAAATAAAACTAAATATGCGAAATCCAGGACTTTTCGGGGGAATCTATATCATATAAAGTGTTATACAAACTGTTATACTCACAAATATAACACATTCAGCTACTATAATAATTATTTCTACTAAATATGCACATTTTTCATTAAAATAATACCATTTTGGATGATTTGTAGCTGTAAAAAGTCAAATATTTAAACTGTTATACTACTAAAATAGCACAGAAAATATTGTTATTGTCGTTTTAAGAAATGTTCAATGCCTCAATATAGCGACATAAGGAAAAATGCATGAATTCTGCGATATTTGAAAAAATTATAACAGTTATGTAAAGTGTCATACAAAGTGTTATACTCACAAAAATGTGTTCTAATGTTGAAATATTGATAATTTCTACTCAATATAAACCTTATACACTTTTCTGGACCATTATAAGTTGTTAAAAATTAGAACTTAAACTGTTATACTCACAAAATAGCACAGAAACAGCTGTTACAAAAGGTTTTCGAATCTTGAAATGTGCAAAATGTATTAAAATTAGGCTTAAAACAAGAAATTTGGTTCTTTTGGGAAAATTATAACAGTTATGGAAAGTGTTATACAAACTGTTATATTCACAAAAATGTGTTCCAGTGCTAAAAATAATAAAAATTTTTACTAAATTTAATAATTTTCAGTATTCTAAACCCTTTGAATTTTCAAAACCTATACAAATAAACTGTTATACTAGTAAAAAATTACAAATATGGTTTTAACTTGAATTTTCAGACAATGTCTCAATATAGCTAAATAAGGCTAAACATTACAACTTTGTCACATTTCCGAATATTACAACAGTTATGGAAAGTGTTATACAAACTGTTATACCCACAAAAATGTGTGTTTGATGCTAAAATAATGATAATTTCTACTAAATACACATTTTTTTCTTATTTCAATTAATTTTTGATTCATTTGAAGCTGATAAAAATTAGAATTTAAACTGTTATACTCACAAAATAGCACCAAAAACAACAGTTACGAAAGGTTTTTGCATCATGAAATGTGCATATATGTCAAAATTAAGCTTAAAACACGAAATAGGGTGTTTTTGAGAAAATTATAACAGTTATAAAAAGTGTTATACAAACTGTTATACTCAGAAAAATGTTTTCCAAATTTTAAAATAATGCTAATGCATACTAAATATATAATTTTTCCTTATTTAAAACCTTTTTTGAACCGTCATAGGTGGTAAAAAATTATAAATTGTAACTGTTATACTCACGAAATAGCACAGAAAATTCTTCTACGAAAAGTTTTTGAATCTTGAAATGTGCCAGTATATCAAAATTAACAATAAAACACGAAATCTGGTGTTTTTGGGAAAATTATAACAGTTATGGAAAGTGTTATACAAACTGTTATACTCACAAAAATCACATTTTAT